TGCTTACAAACCATTTGGTTAAGTATGAAAGAGATTTTCCTCTCTCTCTCTCTCCTCTCTTTCGACACGGCCGTATGTCAATGACATCATTTTGATGTCACTGACATACAGCCGTGTCTAGTTCTAACATTGATCGTTTTATGGCCGTATTTGTCAGACTCACCATTCACACGGAAATTTATGAGTTTGAATGCTGACTGTTTTATGCTATTCTATTTGTTAAGGACGCTGAGATTTATTGGTTTCAATTAAGTAATTGAAATATTATATTCGCTGACCTTTACATTGGTGACTGATTAGTTCTTTACGGAAAGTGTAATTAGACACCGAACTTTATATAATCAGTCCATAAACTCACGATTTTATTTACTGTTTTTTAAAACATCTTGAATTTGCAATAAATTTCTAGAATGCCAATGAAAAAGCGGAAAATCCTGCACGTTACATTGAACGACGTATTTCTGAGAACGATGTTTGCAAAGAACAAATCCATTTATTGATAGAAGAACGGAATCTGCTACTGGAAAAAGTGAGATTTGCCGTAGTTTAACATTTGTAGTGCACTTTTATTAAAGTTCGTGAACCCTATATTTTGCGTCCAATGTTGCGCTTTAATCTTGGAATTTCCAAGAACTTTGCATCAAGCTTATGGGTGAATTTTTCTGATGAGAGAGTAGAAGTCATACTCCAAGATCCACAAAGTGATTAAATGAATCCACGAAGTGATGAAAAAAGTTGCAGATCAACTCCATGCGAGAAGAAAATGAACTACAAGCGGATCAGGTAGACAAGTTGACATTTCAAGCTGTCGATAAAGTGCTTAGTAAAAAAATGAATGAAATGGAACAACAATGTGAAAATTTACAGAAGCAATTGGATACAACAGAAGGAGAAATTACTGATAAGAAGTTAGTGTTTTTGATAGCTAGGCGCGCTAGTTAAAATCAGTTGATTCCGGGAGTGTAATACTAAGCTTTATGTCAGAGTTTATTCTCATGTATCAAAAGATTTTGCTAGAAAAATAAGTATAATAATCTTATTTTACAGTTCTCAGATTTCTCAGTTACAAACTGAAATGGAAGAAGTGCACCATCTCATTGATATACAGCGTGAAAAGTTTGAAAAAGAAATTGTTAGCGAAAGAGAACAGAGCAGGTAAATATTATATCGATTTGATTTTACTGGAGTGCGAAATTTGTAATTTTTTTATAATTCTAATCTGTAATTTTTTTAGAGCAAAAATTGAAGAATTACAAAAAGAAGTGGAGAATTTACAACTGCTAGTAAATTATCATAAAGAAGGTAGAGATAGTAAAGAATCAAAGATGGCAGAAACCATTGAAGAACTCAGCAAACAAATTATGATATGGCGAAAACGAGCCGAATGTTTGGAAAGCAGATCAGAGGAGCAAACAACATTAGATCGAGAATTAGAAAAACTCAGGTTAACTGCTCTAAAGATTTCTTGCTCCAAAAAACGATCTCTTTTGTATCAAAATTCGATTTTGATGTTGTTTCATATTTTTCATATTTTACAAAATTCATATTTTTTTAAATCAACATCAAAATTATATTTTTTAATGGATGGCGATATCATTTCAGGCGAGAGAATGCTGAACTTACAGCAGCTTATAATGATTTGAATGAAGACTTTGAAAATCACAAAGCAGAACATGGTTCTGTTGTTATCTCGAATCGTGACTTGACTGCCCGTATCGGTTTGTTCATAATATTTATTCTCTAAGTTTCTTTATATCACTAGGTTTCAAAGTTGCAAAATTGTTTCGTAGTGGTGAACTAAATTTTCAAAAAAATTCATGAATTCCTATCTGGTTATATCTGATAAGCTTTAATGACTAAATATAAGATAATTCATTTCTTAAAACTTATAACTAATGTGGACAGACATTTCGCTCTATAGTAATAGATTGAATTCAATTAGATCACATTATTATCGAGTCATTCAGCAAGTTATAACTCATTGCTCAAATTAAGCAGATTTGATATATGAACCTATGATGGGATTAAATAAATGTCCTGAAGCTGAAATATAATGGTATGCATAGTAACATGTTAGATTGATAAATATTTCGGCTTCTCTGAATTTTTGAATTTTATCTAGATTCTAAATTTATGCAGATGCTTTGAAAGCGAATCTTATTGAATATGAAGAGCGTTATGAAATGTGCAAAAATGAAAATGCTGAAACCGTTCAGCAGCTTGAAAAACTTTCAAACGATTTTGAACGATTACGTTTATCGTTTGAAAGTTCGAAAACAAAAAATGCTTCAAATGCAGTGGTATGTTAATTTTTATTCATAGGTATATCAGCATTTGTTGAAGATGTGCTTCAGTTAATTTCAACCAATGAAAAAATGTAATTGTTTTTATCACTGTTAGTTCAAAGTTGTATCTCAATCTTGTTCCAATTTCAACTCGTTTTTAGAGTAATAATTTTAAATCTTCTTAAAAATTTTTGTTAGAAGATTGTAATTTGTCTCTGTTTAGATTCTGTTACCGGTAACTGACTCTTTTTTCAATTTTTTTTAAGTTGTTAAAGTTCAGGATGAGGTTGAAAGACTTCGTACAGAATTGGATGCTTCAAAAGATGACCGTGAAAAGTTACGTGCTGATGTCGAACGTTTTCGATCGGCTATCGGTATTATTGATACGGAACTGAACAGATTAAGGTGATCCTGATAGCATTCGAATTTTTGTCTCAGATTGATTTGATCTCATAATTTTCAACTTTTCTTTTTCTTCTATTCCCAACTACTTTGAAATTTTTGCAGAGAATCAAATGACAGATTAGTCCAAGACAACAAGGCCATGGGGGCTAGTTTAGATAAGTTCGCTGAAATTCGAGATATGTTGGAAAATAGCGATAGTGAGTTAAAAAACCTCCGAGAGAAATTCTTCCAACTTCAGAGCGAACATGAATTAAAGGTTTCTCTTATATTCTTAATCTTATAACACATGTGCTAAATAAATCAACTATGAGATGAATCTGTTGCTGACTTTAATCACTTCTGGATCTTTTGCTTCTTAAATCATATTTGAAAAATTGAGAATTTCGCTCACGGGACAATATCATCAGGAAAAACAATGGCGCGAACAACTGTTAGAATTGAGTGAAGCACGTGATGATGCTAAGCGTCGGTTGGAGGAATGTCAGCGGGAAACAGCAATACGACAGTCACGTTCGTCTGATACTGCTTTATCTGCCGAAATTGTTGAATTAAAAAGTGAGGAAGCCAAAATTACAACAAGTAGCGAAGGTACTGTGGATTCAAATAACGGATGGGAAAAGGTGTCTGTTTTTACTTGCGATTTTTTGATTTTTTTAAATCTTAATTTAGTTACTCTATATATTGCTGATGAAATCTCTTATCCAGAAAGTAAAATCTTATTCATGATTTCATTTAGTATTCATTAATGATTATGATATAGAATTGTGGATCACATTCCGTTTCTTTTTTGGCAGCAGTTAGCAAATGAGATTTGTTGGTTTGACGAAATTCTATGCTGTTGTAAATTGGTACTGTCTGTAAAGTAAAATTTTTAGCTTTGTATAAAATGATTTCTAATTGAATGGCTCAATAAAATAATGTCCTGAAATTTTAATGGTATTGAATAGATGGCAGATTGGGATGCGACAGCGCCCATAAATGGATCATCATCGGCAAATGGTTCAAATAATTGTACAATTATGAATGAATTACGTGAAGCTCTGGCAGTTGTGACAGAAAAAACAGAAGAATGTGAGGAACTACGTCGACAAAAACATGAACTCAATAAAGAAGTTGGTTTTATCGATTTTGAAAAAAGATTTATGGTTTTTGGGAAAATTTATCTAACGAACAGAGCTTTTTAGACTGTTTTAAATTAAAATCACGTGGAATGTTATTTGAATTTTGACTTGTTGATTTAAAAGATGGAAATTGTAGCTGGATCTACGACAAACGTGTATTGATGAGTTGATGGTGCAAATGAATGTTTTACAATCTCAACAACATATAAATGCAGAAACTTTTGCACAACTTCGTGGTTGGGTTCGTTTTTATCCTTTTCTAAACTTAAAAATTTTATACCACTAGAAGTTGAATGCTATTTAGCTTATTTTAGGCAAATGAACTAGAACGTGATAAGTTAGAATTGGAACGAAATCTTGTTCATACAAAAGAAAAATTAGAATATGTGCAAAAGCAGTTGGATACTGTTAAGGTAAGTGGGGAAAAGATAATGGTATTGTGCAAATTGTTTGGTAGTCAAAACTTGTTTTGAAACTTTATCTAGTTTTTATTCTTGTTTCTGTATCTCACGTTTTTTATCTTTTAAATGTGATTTGGTGATGGCGAATTAATTATATCTTCAGTAGCAACTAAAACAAATCTTTAAGGAAGAATTAGTAAATGTCAAACAAGTTGATTCGATGCAGCAAACAATAGAAGAATACGAACAAAAAATGAGGGATCAGAATGCTGCTCATGAAGAAGCTTTGCGCAACACTAATACAGAACACATGAACGTTCTCGAGGAAATCGAGAATAAAGTAAAGACTTGACTCTAGCTTTATTTTTAGCATAATTTTAATAAATCTTTGTGACATTTCCCATGTGGTATTTCTCTTACCGTTTAATTTTTCTCTATTTTTCTTTATTTCTTAATTTATACGATAAATCAGTTGCATTATGTTTATTTTTTTTTTTTGTTTCTTTTTTAATATATCTGTAAAGATCAAACTACACAAAATTCTTCTATATATATTAGATATCTTGTTTCAGCTGAAAGCAGCCGAGGACGAAATAAAGCAGCTACAACAACAAAACAAAGTTGCAGAAGAAAAACACGAATCTGTAGTTGTTAGTTCACATACTTTTCTGAAGTTTTGAAAAGTTAGATAAATCATTTTTGTTACTGCGGGTTCGAGTGTATAAGTGCATATATTTGGTTGCACATAGCAATTTCAGAGAGAAAAGGACGAGTTTTTACGTATAAATAAGGAGTTGATGGAAGCAATGCAAAGAAAGAGGGAATTAGAAAAAGCAAATTGTGAACTGCAGCATAAACTTAATGAGGTTTTTTGCAGAATATTTTTAACATTCCACATTTGGGTTCCATTAATCTATTGTCTCGTTACGAATGCGGCTTTTACATCGTCATATTTGCAAATATGTTCTTTTAATGAATACTTGTGATCCTGTTGCTGAATAACTTTCCTGAATTCCCTTTTTCAGTTCCTTGAATAAAGCATTTTAAAAAAATAAATTGCAGAAGAGTGGAATAAAGATTTATGTTAAAATTAATGTATGGATTTTCAGTAACTTTTCAATTTTCAATTCTTGTTATGGTTGTACGTGTAATTTTTTCAGGCATCAACACAATTAACAGAAGCTGAAAAGCTTCGGGTCGAGTTAATTGCACTAGTGGAACAGAAGCATACTGAAAGTATTAAATATCATACTCAGTTACAGTCTGTACTCACTGAGAAAGAGCAACAAACCATCACTTTTGCTACATATGTTGAAAGATTATCTGTCTTAGAGCAAGAATTGAAAAAGTACGATTAATTCGAAAGAGGAATTTTGCCATATAATTCCGTTATCATCAGCAAAGCTTTTCAATTAATAATTTACCTCACTTTTTGTTAACTTTTTGCAATATTGGTAATTTTTAATTTTTAGTTGCATGGATGCTCGGGACAAAGCATTAAGAGAATGCGAACGACTACGTGATCATTTATTAACTACGGAAGAAGCATCAACTAAGGAAGCCCTAGCTGCAGAAGAACGAGAAACTGAATTGAGGCAACGAATCAGAATACTCGAACAAAAAACGGAAGAATCAGCAGATAATGTTATAGAGTCTGCTAATGCGTATCAGGTGACAATGTTTGTCAGTTCTTCAACGAATGCAAAAAAATTAGATTGGTGGTTGTTTTATTTTAGTTTAGCGGAAGAAGGAAAAAAGTGCAAAAATTTGAATATTTGTCTGGATAATAGAACATAACATAGTGAATAAAGCGTGATATTTTCATTTTCAAAACGATGACTTCTCTGTGCAGTTGTTTGCATAGTCTTTTATTTAGTGAAAGTGACCTAAAGCTTTCTTTACAAGAGGTTTTGTGATTTTTAGTTAACCAATTTTTATTCTTTTTTTTATTGTGGTGTTTTGCAGCGAGAAATTACCGAGTTGACCAATGAATTGGATTTTATGAAAAATGAGAAAGTATCCATCGTCGATAGATTACAAGAACGGGAGAAAACATTGGCTGATACGAAAATAGCACTTTCAAATTTACAAAATGTTTTGCGCGATATCAGTATAGATCATGAAGCACAAGTGTTACAATACGAAAATACTATCGCTGAACTGAAAAAGAATATGGAGGCATATATTTTTTTACTATACTCAAATCCAGTTTCTCCAATTGATTTTTTTTGTTAAACACAAAAAAACGTGGTGTCGATTAATTTTTATTGATGAATCTAATAATAGTTCATACATACTAGAAAATTTCCTTTGTGAAATATTCTTTTTTCGTCTGGTTTCCATTTCCTTAAATGCTTTCATTTTAGAAATTAAGTTTGGATATAGCTCAGTTTAAGCAAGCACAAAATATTGTTGAGGTTGAAAAGCAATTGTTGGAAGAGAGAACTGTGCATCTGAAGGAAGAAATTACTAGAAAGAATGTGGTATGTTAAATTGTAACTGCTTTTTTAAATTTGAGTCAAAGCAATTCAGCTAAAGTTAAGGTTTTTATTATACTAAAATGTTCTTTTTTTTGTTGAGAAGGAAGTTTGGCTCTTTTATTAATCGATCCATTCACAGTTTTTTTTTACTTAAATATTATCTTTTGTAGATGATTGAGGAACTTGAAGCAAGTCTTGACGAGCATGCGCAATTGACAATGTCATCGTATACCATCGATGATCAAGTATTGCGTCAACTCTTTATGTCTTATTTTACTGCTGACAAAGATAAACAACCAGAAATTGCTGTTTTATTGGCTTCGGTGCTCGGTTATTCACAAGAGGTAGTGTTTTTAAGTCCAGTTTAGCTATTTAATTCGACTAGGAGATGAATTTGGGATAAGTCACAATTTCAAATTTGATGAATGAAGAAGCAAATAGATTAGAAGTATAGTCTGTGGATTCTTCTTCTTGGAAGTATAATTTCGTGCTATTTTAACTTTTTCTATATATTTTTTATTTTTTTCTCTTTTATTTTCAGGACGTTGCAAAAATTAATGCTGCAAGTCATTCTTCTTCAAGGGGGTGGTTTGGTTTTGGTAGTTCATCGAAGCTTTCTCAGCAGAACGTTTCTTTGGCAGAACAGTTTGTCCATTTCCTAGAAAAAGAATCCTTAACAACATCTCACTCTCTTCCGGTTCAGGTTAGTACCAAAAGAAGATTTAAATATTTGCGAAAACATAGTAGAAATTTCACATTTTGGTCGGCATATTGACAAAAAAGGTACAGTATTTTTTATATAGAAATATTATGGAAAAATATGGAAAAAAACAGCTTAAAGAAATGCCCCTTTAATATTATAAAGTACAGAATTCCAGGGATCCAAAATAACAATTTATGGAACTGGTGACAAAATATTTACACCTGCTAAATCAAGAAAAATTTTAAAACAAAACTATGAAGTGAAGTGATTACAATTTTTTTGACAAAATTGGTCTTTAAATGCAATAAATTATTTAATATTCTGAGCAGTGATTTCTGATCAATTCTAAATAATTTATGACGCCTTTAAATGCCACCATCCTAATGGACACCTTACCAAACCAGCTGCAAGTGATAAACATTTCCGATGTTGTGTTAAAAACCGTTTTTCTAATTTCTTTCATGTTTTAAAAAATATGTTTATATTGCATTTCACCATATCCCATATGCACAGTAGATACATATAGGATATGATGAAAGCAATATAAACATATTTTTTAAAAGACGAAAGAAATTAGAAAAACGGTTTTTACACAAAATGCGGTAAAAAAAAGATGATTTTTAATAAATATATTGATTGATGAACCAAGTAAAGTTAAACTGAGAAAGATCATTGTTCTCGCCAGTGAAGCAATTTAAGAAAACAAGTTTCCAATTTAAAAAGACAAGTTTTCAGGGTATGTTTAAAAACTTGTCTTTTAAATCTCATTAATTTAAAAGACAAATTTTTATAATTACAGCAACATATACGCGTTTTCTTCTCGTGTTTGTTGCTGGATTAAAAAATAAGCTCCGTTTTTCAGCAGTCTGAAGAAATAGAAACAATACGTTCCAATGTTCGGTTAAAATGTTCAAGAACATCATCCGCAGCCGATTTACACTCGATATTGAATACATGAAATCTGTGAGCTATGGAGAGTTTATATAAATTAAGCTTATGCAAAACATGCATGAAGATGATCATTTATTGCGCCTGTCAAGAAAAATGAAAAATAAGTTTGTAGTATATAAATAGCATTATTCAGACTAGTCCAGAGTATGCTCGATATCGAGAACTGAATGGGTTAGACTGACAATTTGTACTATCATTGTCTCTGATATCATTTATGAATGTAACTGTCAGGCTTTATCGTAATGGTATCCATCTAATGTTACCGGTGTCTTTCATGTAATTGGTTTCATTTGTGTGCTTCTGTATCAAACTCATAATCTATTTAGCATTGACGGATTGACATTTTCAATTATGATAATGATTTTTTTGGAGATATCTGCCTGTATAAAAAATTTTAGACCATAATGAAGTAACCGGTGATTTAGTTACATGGTTTCATATCTTCATGAATCACTGACGAAATATGGTATGATGCGGCTGATTTTGTTTTAGCCCTGGACATTCAAGAAGAGTATTAACAACTGTTGCTATAACTGCTTGTATTTCCCCTTTCCTGCATTAAATTATGAGTTATCATTTTGATGTGGTTGTTCTATAATGATTTTGGATTGTTTTGTTCAGGTGGAAATATTTAATGATTTGTATAAAAATATTGTTTTGACCCATATATATGATTGATATTAGTATATTTTTACCTGCTTTGGTGATTTTCTACATTGTTGTTTATAAATTTTTACGGTTCGCTGTGTTTCCTAATAGTGCACAGTGGTCTAACTTTAGGTATATTTAATGATGTTGTAAATGTTTTTTTGGCGTCGGAGAAGAGTTAGTAGGTACAAAATTTATAAATAATGTTAATCATTGATTATCGATAAAATGATATGGATTAGATTTAATAATTGTTTTCTTGTTAGCCTGGATCTGTATAACGTTCTAGAGAAAAGATTCCTTATAAGTTTTGTCTGTAAAGAGTGATTCGTCGTTTTAACTGCTTCGGGCACTTTTTGTTTCTCAGGTTATTCGTCTCTTTCAAATTTTATCAGCATCAGGAAGGCAAAAGCGGACAAATTGGATTGTCTGATAGTAAAAATTGTAGGAAGAGAAAGGAATAGCAAACCAACTAATTGAATGAAAGGCGTATTGGAGTGGTATTACACAAGGAAATCCAAAATGTATAGAAATTGGGTCATCTAGCCGTGTATCCATCTATTTTCCTTTTTTCTATTTGATCTTTCAAATCATTGAAATTGATGATTGCTCATTCATTTACCTGTTTGTATGGATGATTGAGGACATATGCATTCTCATTCCAGTCAAACAGGGAGTATTACGGATGGTAAGGATCAAAGAGAGAATATTGATATCGGCGAATAAGAGGATATTTGTGTTGCAAACATGGTATAACATATTTCCTGCTTCTTTGTTCCTTAATAGTTTCGCATGAACTAAGTTTTTTTTTTAATATCATTATTAATGTTATGAATAAAAATTATTCGTCCCAGAAAAAATGAATCTGCTAGAAAATTAACTTAGTTCAAATTTGAACATGATTCGTCAAAGACTTCCAAATTTTTAAGCGTTTTTCCTTGTTCTCGAACAGATAGGAGTTTTAACATAATGAGAACAGAAAAACATGAAGATAATTTATAATATGAGTAGTGTGACATTCTGTAAAAGTGATTGTACTTTTTTGAATTTTTAACGGTGTCCAAAGCGTATTGTTTTGCAGATTTCAAACATTTGATATCGACATGATACTATAAGAAAGTCTGAAAATATTGACAAGTTTCTGCCATTTTATCACTGTTTATCAATATTTAGACCGTAATTAATGAAGATGTCAAAGAAATGCGAAGAATACTTCCGCAAAAGCGCTTTCTTTATTGTTTTATTTTACAGCACTGATTGTTTCAAAAACATTAAGGAATCAAGAGAGAAAAAATGAGCGATAGGATGGTCAAAATTAATAATCCATCATTGGAAAAGCAATCAAATGATCATTTTCATCATCTTGGTATTACGAAAAGTGCGATCGATATTCCGAAGACGTATGGCGATGTTAAGGTTATACCTTGGATTTATTGTATTAGTCTTCAAAATGAGATCATTCTCTTTCATTGCAGTAAAATTTGTTCTTTCACATATGGTTAGGACAAATTTAACAGAAATCTCGAACAGATTACAAAGCAAATCTCCTGTGCAAGCGGTATCGAACAGGAAACATAGCCAAACATTTTTCCAATATTTAATTTAATTCAGTTAATTCAATATTAATTTTTATCAAAATGTACTAGTTGAAAATTAAGTAACAATAAAATTGTAACAGTAGATATTTATTGATAGAATTATATTATATGTTGATGATTTTAGGATAGTACCAGCTAGCACCTAAAACTCATTTTTCTCTAAGTTGTCCATTACTAAATTATGATAAAATACATTTTTGAGATTCAAATATCTTTCTTTCGGATAATTGCACATAAAACATTCATCATCTGGTGAGCCAAGGATTTATATTTATCTCAGTGAGCGATATTGATCATTATAAATGGTAAGGGAGATTTACTTATACCTTATGTGATAACTTGCAAATAATTGCAGTTTATATGTATGGGTGGAAGTATGACACGAATGAAGAATTATGCGGAAATATTTGCCAGAGAAACGGGCATAAGTATATCCAATAATGTAAGCACAACTGACCGTTATGTAATGTATAAAACAGGTCCAGTACTTTGGGTTAATGTTAGTTTTTGTTTTGTTGACTCGTACATTGTTTATATGATTATTTTTCGTCAAAGAGAAACACAAGTTAGATATTTTGAAAGTTAATTTTTTGAATTATGATTTAATTCGCCGTAATTTAAGGAAAAATAAATTACCAGACTTTGTATTTAATAAAAAATGGTTGATCATTTTGCAACATTTATTACTATCTGTTATATGAATGAAATTTCATATTCGGAAGTAAGGAAGTGTTGTTTTTTTTAACGATATTATACAATGTGTATATGTTCAGATTTCTCTAATTTAAATAAAGAAGCATCACTGCAGCATGGAATAGGTGTTCCATCAATAAGTATTATCATCGTGGAATTGATTAAATTGTTGTATTATGCGAAGGCAAAAGATGTGATAGCAATACGAATGGGTACGTCAGGTGGTGTTGGTGCGGCAGCGGGTGTTGTGGTGATTTCTAATGGAGGAATGAATGGTGAATTGCTTGACAAACATGTGCAGTATATCGTGGGTCAAAAGGTTAATGTTCTATTCGAAACTTTTTTCAACTGCCTTAATTTTTCATTTGTTCAATTTCTCTTATGAGCTGAATTATGTTTGAAATATGAGAATCATTTGTTATAGATTTTGAGACCAGCTATCTTTGATGCGGAAGTATATCAACAGTTGTACAAAGTAGCACTTGAATTAAAAATACCCGCTCAAATCGGCAAAACATTATGTACCGATGATTTTTATGAAGGTATATGTTGTGTTTTTAGAGTTCAGTTGCTCTCACTTGATTATTTTACTGTGTTAATCAAAATGAATAATTACAAATTTCCAAGCTTAAATTCGTATTTCCTGAACTTATTTTCAGTACAAGTTTCTTTTTTTAAGGAACCAATTTATGAATATAATATGAAACTTTCAGGACAAGCAAGATTGGACGGTGCATTTTGTGAGTACACGGAGCAGCAAAAGTTTTCGTTTCTCAACCGTTTACATGAATTGGGAGTACGAAATATCGAAATGGAAGCATTATGCTTTGCATCAATGTTCAATCGAGGCAATATAAAAGGTTAAACTTGAATGGCAAATATCAGAAAGACTGAAATGTCTTTTAGTATGTCATATTGCCATAGAAATTTTTCTTTTTTTAAAATATGCTTCAAATTGTGTTGGCTGTATGTTCAGGGATGAATGGTTTAAAGATTTTAAATGATTGAATTTCTTAATGTTTGAATTTCCTAAGTGATTGAATTTTCAGCAGCGATAGTTTGTGTGACATTGTTGGATCGATTAAAGAGTGATCAGATTTTACTGGAACATGGCGATTTAGACAAATTCGAAATGCGTGTTTTCAAAGTAGTCAGCACGTACATCAAACAGCAGTTGAAATTATGCTAAATATTATTTCTTTTTCACATATCATTTGAAATTTTTTAATATTTAAGATGGAAGGTAAGCGATTCTAAGCAAATTAAGAAGTGAAAGAATCGAGAAACTTTTGTGTTTGCCGGAAAAAGAAAATTTTAGATTTTGAAGGACTATAATATAATCGAAAATGAGTGATTCATTTTATGAATGAATATTACTTAATATGTTTAATGATAAGTATCATTTGATATGCTTAATCCACACAATATATTTTCTTATTTCGGAGATGACGATCTCGATATCCACGCTAAAGTTTGAAATGTAGCACTTCCAACTTTATTCCAGTCCATTTCCACTGTCTTTCTATAATTTACTGGTGACAGTCCACGGATCGCAGGTAATTTCACAGCAAGTGATTTCCTTGCATACATTGCATGTCAGTATACGCACAATAAATTCATTTGTGTCTGTGAGATAACAGTGATTATTTCTTATCATATCATTACATTACTACACGCAATAAAAAGCATTTCAAAGTAGACGAAGTTTTTCAGATATCGAACAAAATAGTCACATAATTTTTAAACATCTCCGTAGAAAAGTGTCATTCGCCACTCCTTGCTGTTCTTTGTATTGCATTATTGACTCGCAATCTTTTCAAATAATCATTTGAACTGCTGGTTTTACTATGGATATTTGCTCTCTATTAATGAAAGCAATTCAACATTTTTCAACAATGAAAGCAATTTCAACTAATTTTTCTGAAAACGATGAGCAAACTCGGTAAATAATTTCATCGAATTTCATTTTTAATTCAACAATTTGAATGGATAGCTTGAGATATGATTGACTGGAAAAGATCTTCCGATAATAATTTTTGAAGTGGTAATTAACCGAAAGTGGTATTTATGATCTGAACATTCACTGCAATGGTACAACTCGAAAAATATATGCAAAACTATTCTCGAAGGTCGGACATTTACTTTGATTTTGTACTCTAAACAAACATTTGCATTAAATTTTGAAACAAATGTACTGAAAAAATGTTTCAAAATGGTGTACAATATTTCAAAAAATGATTCTTTATTGAATTACATGATCTTGTGATGAAATTGAAGTTTCCTTGTTAGTAGTAGCGCAAAAAGTTTCTTTGCGCCCACAACGTTAGCAGTTTGTTCACAAACGAAATTCGTGGAACTTTATAAAAAAACTTATATAACTTCTGTTGTTTACAAAGAATTCTCGATTGTGTAGACTAAGAGCGTAATGAAATACACGGCTGAATGTTTGAATGCTTCAGTGAACATAAACAAGTCGACCTATTGCTGTTCAAATGTTGCTTTAAATTAGATCTAAATTAAAACAAAAAATTGAATATGTTGCTGGCTTTTGCCAAGTTCTACTATTTGACCAATGAACGAATCTCACATGTACAAACAGGTTGTAAAAGAAAGTGTCCTACCCGATGTCGCTTAATCTCATGACTGCTTCGATTAATCATTTCTGACCTTTGTGAAGTGATTATCTGCCAATGATCGACTCCGAATGCTATGCTTAGCTATGATTATTTACATTTTTTTAATGCATTGTATATCATTCAATTACCTTCCGGAAACGTTCATGTTGCTATAGAAACATCAAAATGAGAGATATTATAGATTTTGTGCATTTTGCTTTTCATTTTTCTTTCCAGTTAATAACTTCAATTTAACATATCATTTTAAAGTATTGACTCAACTAAGAAAAATGGATTTGTTTTAAAATCTCTTCGTTTAAAAGCCGAATTTTTTCATAGAATGTCAGATACACAGGACACTGTAGCGAGTTGGTCGGTACCCGTAGAAGATCGAATATATAAAATTGAATTCGAGCATGGCACAGCCAGCGGAAAAAGAGTCATACGAGTTGATGGAAAAGTTTGCTTATCAAAATTATTTCTTTGATTTCTTTTTAATTTTATAAGTTCCCTCTTTAATTCGTGATAAATAAAATTTGTTTCATACATATTTATCCAACTTTTGATAGTTTTTAGCAGTGCCAAAATGTTTCATATCGAAATAAAATAAAATACAACAATTCTTTGCATATATTACAACTTTGACCTTCTTCTGGAAATTATAATAATAATTTCTGTGTTTGCTAAAATCTTTTTGACTTATAATAATATTTCAGGAAATTCTGAGAAGAAATTGGATGTTTAATCTCGTCGGTAAAGAAATATTTAATGTTGGCAAATTGAAATGTGCCATTAGCGTGGAAGCTTTGGGAACATTTTTTTATGAATATACATTGGAAGTGAATGGTAAATCATATGAAAAATTTCGAGAAGAAGTGGCAAAAAAGCTGAAAAGCTGGACAACAACTTTGGATGGTCAAGTGACTCGTATTTGCATAGGTTTATTAGTCATTTCATGTTGAAGCAATTATAGATATGGAAATTTGGAGAATTCAAAATTAGATGTCAAGGTTTAACTAAAATTTGAAGGAGTAAAGAGTTTGGAGTCCTGAGAAAATGAAAGCATTGAATGTCGTGCTATTTCACAATTTGTGACAAAGTGCAATTAAAAGTTTAGTTTGAAGTAATGGTAATCAAATATAATTGTTTCAAATTAATCTAACATTTTACTTTCAACTTCAAAATGTTTGCAGATAAAAGAACAATGGACATTTGGGTCAATAGTCAAAAAATGAATACTGCGGTAAGAAGAAAAATTTTGTGCTTGTGGTTTTTTTCAAAAATTGCAGAATACATTTGGAAATTAAGTAGAGGAACTTATAAGACAGTTGAATAAGAAATCAAAAATTCAAATGAACAAAGTTGCACAAAACAAAATCATAACACATTAGTGATCTAAAAATCAGCGCTTATTTACATTTGAAATACTGAATTTTGATGTAAGAAGTTTGACAAAGTATGATCAAAAAGTGCATTTAAAACATTAAATTTTTGATAAAAATTTCAGGGCGAATTTTTGGAGAACGGTACAAAGACACATTTTGAAATTGATCAAAATGTTTGCTATGTGAAAGCAACAAGTAGTGGTAACAAGAAATTAGGATTTATCTATCAACTTTACATCAACAACAGTGAAATAACGTCTGACAACGGTTCATAACTGTGTGTTATTTAGAAGTTGTGGTACAAACATCTTTCGATTTTTTACCTTTTCAATTTTAAATCATATGAAAATTAGTTGTGAAAATTTTCCACGGAACGAAATATGATGTATGAC